TTAATTTTTTTCTGTCAACAAGAAGTTTGGCCCTGATCGAAATGGAAGACCACGTGCACAGTGCCTGTATTTTCTTATCAGATTTTCTAGAATGTTCTTTCACTTTTATCGTAAGGTAGTTGTAAGAAAATTTAATGCAATTCTTAAAAGTTACTTAGGCATTAAAATTTAAAGCTATATTCGAATTTTAATTCAAAAAGGATTATATGAAAAAAACTCGTTAAAAGGAAGACTGAGCTCAAAAGTTCTAGAAATTCCAACTCGTATTTGAGGAAAAGGAAATAAATGATTCACTAAAGATTATAAAATAGTAAAATATAATAAAAATTTTAAAAGAGGAAGTACCAAAACAAGGTGCTCAAAATAATTTGAAAGAAAGAACTAAATCTCAGACAAATTTTAAAAGAAAAAACGAAAAATAAGGTGATCAGAAAAATTTCAAAAGAAAGATTGAAAATAAGGTGCCTAGAAAAAATTTAAAAGAAAGAGTGAAAATAAAGTGTTCAGATAAATTTTATTGGAAAGAACAAAAATAAGGTGATCAGAAAAATTTCAAGTACAAAAATAATGTGATTAAGAAAATTAAAAAAAGAAAAAAAGAACCGAAATAAGTTGCTCAGAAAATTTTGAAAGAGAGAGAGAAAATAAGGTGCTCAGAAGATAAGGTACTCAGAAGAAGGATTGAACAGAAATAAAATACTCAGAAAATTTTTCAAGGAAAGAACGAAGATAAAGTACTTAGAAAAATTTCTTAAAGGAAGAAAATAATGTATTCAAAAAATTTTAAAATTAGAAACGAATGAAATCAAGACCAAGAAGAAGGCCCACAAACAGATAGATGCTGTAACAAAAGATCTAACTGTAGTGAAAATTACAATCTGGGAACCCATGACTAAGAACTGAAAGGTTTGAACAACATTGTTCAACAAGAGAAAGCCTACTGTAGGCTGTAGTGCCATAAAAGAAAATTTTTAAAAACTGCCCTTTTCAAATAGACTAAAAAGTTCAAAGAATTTTATTTTTGTGATACTATAAGTGAAAGACGTAGAACAAATCGCATTTAGATGACTTGAGGTAAATTTTTTTTGTTGGAGTAGTTTATTTCGAAAGTTATACATTTTCCGTATTATGTTTGACAAAAAGAGAATTATTTTCTTCTTTTTAGTCCAATTAAGAAACGTAGTTTTTAAAAATTTCATGTTATGATTTTCATTTTCTATCTCCCTTTAGTTTTGCACCTGTAAGCTTTTTCAGACTGGAAAAAGGTTGAACTTTCGTTGTAAATTATGCTTGTGGCAGATAAATTATGCTTGTAACACTCATCAAACATTTGTAACGTGTATTATCATCAAACATTAAGGACTAGCTACTCGAAAAGTGGTCGAATATTGGTGATAAAATGGAGATACATTTTGCTAGCATCATTTTGGAAACAATTGAAACTCGCATTACTACCAAGCATTAACATCTAGTTAAAATTTAAGCAGTCTAGCCAGTCGAAGTACCGATTGGCAATAAATTTTGTTTGGACATAAATTCTGCTTCCAGACTCTGTCAAACTAAATTTTTTTTCTTTCAATATTTGGTTATCTAACAAGTCGAGAAATGTTAGAATTTTAAATACCGATTTATTGCCTTTTGCGCAAATATGACCATAAATTCTGCTATAAGAAGTCTGGCTACAGTTAAAACCTAGAAGCAATAGTAATTTGAACTCTCTTACTATATCGAGAGGGGTTGGAAAATTATTGACCATAAATTCTATTTGGCAATAAAATTACGATAAATACTTTTTTTTTTGACATCGATAAATTTTAATTGATAGATGATAAATATAATCTATGATAAATCCGTCTATGATATAATAAATCTATGATAAAAGAGCCGTGATGGCTCAGGAGATAAAGCATTCGCCTTCCAAAGAGGTGAACCGGGTTCGAATCCCAGCGATCGCTGGTCGATACGAATTCCGTATCCAGCTTGCACTGAGCACAGTGCTGACGTAAAATTTCCTCAGTGGTAGACGGATCATAGGTTAGAGTCTCCTTACCGTAAGCCTAACCATGGGAGGTTTCTGTGGTTTTCCCTCCGTGTAGCACAAATGCGGTTTAGTTTCATCAAAAACTCCTCCACGAATGCCAATTTCTCGAATTACTTGCTCCAGGAGTTCCCTTGTCTTCTGGATTGGGTTCAAGATTAGAAGGCTACGGCGTTGAACATTAGTAATCATAGACCCCAAAAATTTGGTTAGCTGTTGTGCGATGGGACACCTTGTGGCCGAGTGGTAGCGCTTCGCGCTCCCGTGACACAGGTCCTAGGTTCGATCCTCGGGCCGGGCAAGGTTAACTTCAGTGGGTCGATAAATGAGTTCTTGGGAGCTAAACATTGGGGGTATCGCGTTCGGCTGACCACCTAGCCGGAACATTTGCTCCTGCACCCCAGAACTCAAGATCAAGAAAACTGAGGTGGGCACAGTAGGCCTTGACCCTCTATGGGCTGTCGCACCACTGAGTTTAGTGTTTAGTTCTGTGTTGGTTGTAAGATAAAACAAAATCTATGATTAATTTTTTTTTTCGATTGAAGCTCATATTGCCATCAAACACGGAGCTAGGGTAGAAATTGCCGTTTACTGGGAAAGTGGGAGAAATTTCGATTGCAGAATTTCCCGAACACGACAAAACTATAAATATTTCTCTTACATGGCGTCAAAAAATACCATCTTTTCTTTTTCGCGTTGGCAACAAAGAATTTTATTTACTTTATAACCGTCATTGAACAGCAGACCCAATTTTGGGTTTGCGACCACCAATTATCAAAGCTTAATCCCGTCCCACCCCCGTTAGGGGGCATCCGGAAAATACTGTACAGTACACTCTAGGTACGCGCACGTTGACCTCTCAGTAAAAGAAAAAGAGGATTCAAAAAGGTAGGCCTGGAGGTGATCCATGGCAACTTTACGACGGACAGTGCTCAACTCCGTAACATTGTAATTTTGAACCTAATCCAGAAGACAAGGGAACTTCTGGATCGAGTATTGGGAAAAACTTGCCTTCGTGGCGGATTTTTTGATGGAAATAACTAGCAATTGCGTTGCATGGAGAGGAAAACTACGGAAAACTCCCATGACTCGCCTGACGGCAAGGGGACTCTAACTCATGATCCGTCCACAACGGAGGATATTTTACGTCAGCACTGTGGTCAGTGCAAACAACAAAGAATTGAAATATCACGTATATGAACTTTCATAGACATAAAAGCGTAAACATATGTGTCTACAAATTTCTGACTGAAAATTCTTTTCTCGCACCTGTTACAAACTGTTACTATAAGATTTGGAAGAACTGGTTCATATCAGCAAACAAAGTGTTCGATATTCTTTGATAAATGAATATCTGTCGTGCTTACCAGACATATGCGGGTGGGATCTTCCAAGTGGAGCTTATATTAGTCAAAAATAGGGAGTGGACCTCAGAAATTCGCAGTTCGGTGGAAGGGGCAGTGGGGAATTCGCTACCTTCCCCAGCCAGCAGGTCAGCAACTTCGCTTTCGTAAACGCCAGCATATGAAGGAATCCACTGTAAGCATACAGTACCATCACTCTGGTCAAAGCAAATCATTTTAGAATGACACCCTGCCCCAATTAATTCAGGATATTATGTTCCTCAAGTACTGTATGGAGCTCTTGATATATGTCAGTATCCAAATATCATCACCGTCTGGTTCCAAAGCAAGATTTAATGCCTCTCATATAGCAACAAGCTCCGAGCGAAAACCTTAACTGTGACCAGGGTATCTAAAACAATATATATATATATATATATATATATTAATNCCACCAGAGTTATACATTCCTGGTTGAGCAGCTGCAACCTACATGATATCATGAGATGGATTGTTTGGTACAGTGGACAATTGTGTAGCGAAATCGTATTGCTCGAAAAAAATGAAGCTCTTATGAGAAATAAATATAATAAAAAACTAAATAAGAAATAAATGTAATAGAAATAAATCTAATAAAAATTACCTATTCCACAAGGATAAAAATCTATCATAGTCAGCTCATCACTAGCAGATTGGTAATAACCATACAGTAAGCTTTAGGTGCAGTGGATAATTTCCTAAATTGCTAACTCGTTGAAAGATCTTATGTGTATTATGATGTTTAACAATGTTAAAAAGCTTTTTAAGGGAACATATCCCAAGTGAAATAAAAAAAATAATCTCACATCTATGTAATTTAAAAACAATTTTAAAAACAAACAGCGAAAATACAAATCAATTCAATAGTATATAAGGCATGTTAACTCAATTCTATGAAGGGGTACCTTTTCATAGAAGTAGGTTGACATTGACGACATTCCCGGTAAACTACTCTCCCCACAAAGTTCAAAGACAATAGCGAGGAAAACTTTTTGCATGCATAATAATTTACTTTTGTTTCATTTAAAGTTGTAATGCTCTTTTACTTAGCTAATTAAAAATAATGTTACTAAATACCTATTTCCTTCTTAAATTATGAAAAATGTCCTTTATTTATTATTTAATAAAATTAAACTTAATCTCAGATATCCCTAATTTTTCAAATAATACTTGTTAAGATAAAAGATAAAGTGTTTATTAAATGAGTTTTATATTTTTAAAAGAACATTTCATATCGTATTGAAGTTGCTTCAAAAGCTCCTGTAAACAATCTCAATTTAATTACGTATTTAAAATGAGCATAAAAATTTAGAAATTATAAGAAAGTGACTTATCCTTTCACAAGTACATTGAAGAATTCTAGGGTAGAAACAGATTTTTATCACATAGCTTTTCTCCTTCCAACCTTCATAAACTACATTTAATACATAAGAACTTTATTCAGTGAATATTTTTTCACATGATTTTATTTCATCTTATAAAAATAAATAAGTATATGTTCCCCAATTCTTCCTCATATAATTTAGTCATAAGAAAATTAAGGATTTTCTTCTTTTAAGATATAATCTGAAAATTCTGAAACAAATCCGATAGGAGAGACCACTTCAATCATTATTATACATTTTTGTGGATGGTCTACCAGTTCAACATATCAAATCCTTGCAATCTTTAACCAAGTCTTTTGATCGAAAGCAGGTGAAAATGCGAAGTTGCGAGAATGCTCAGATAAATTTACACGTCTAGAAAATACAGAAAACTAGTATCAAATATAAGATTTTTTTACTGCTTAAATTATATTTGATTAGAATTTATCATGTTCATTCACTTAAATAATTTCAGTGAAGGCTCCAACATAGGAATCGATGAATCATTCTCCAACCATTACTTACACTTTCTTTTTCTGGTGTTGAACGAGAACTATCCTCATTATTGCTGCCGTCAGAAATGTTTTTTCCTGTTGCAGGATCAAATAATGCTAGAGCTTTTGTTTTCTTTCTTTCTTTTTTTTCTTTCTTTCTTTCTTTTCTTTTGTTTTCTTGTGTCTGAGCAGGCTGTTGTGCAGGCGGAATGGGGTTGGTGTAAGTTGGCGTGGACTGATAGGAACCTTTAAATGAAAAGAATAAAAATCATCAAATTACAATGTAAAAAATTATTTTAAATAAAAAAAAAGAAGTAATGCACATCATACCATTTGAATTAGCTTGCGGAGGATTATTGTATGAAGTACCCCATTGATTATTAAGATTAACAGGCTGGCGAGTTGCTGCTGGGAACATTATGTTCCGAGGAGGATTAAATTGCCTCTGTTGATACTGAAAATAAACAGCAACGAAATGTAAAAAATTACATAAAGCATAAAATATGTTTTTTTTGTCTTCAAGTAAAATAAATAAAACACACAAATAAATAAAAACATTGATTACATTAATGATGTTTAAGAATTTTTGATACCAAGGATGCGATTTCAAGAAAGAAAAAACATGAAGTAAAAATAAGTCTAAAAAGTAACTATAAGGACTATTCTGGTCAAGTAAATTTATTAACTATTATTTTCTTATATTATTTAACAATTGATATAATTTAACAAACATCAATTTATAATAGGAATATCTTAGCAGGTATAA